TTAGCCTGAGTTTTGTTCTTAAATATTATAATGTTGTAATAGGTGCTTAATTTTTAAAACTAGTAAAAAGAAAAATTAAGAACTCCATGGAGTTTTCAACATTTTGCCCTTGCCTCTTCAGTATAGAGTACCTTTAAGAGAATTGGAGAACTTAGAGTGATGTTAGATCATCCAGGTCAAAACAACAAAACACTTTTTGGCAAGTTATACATTAACCAGAAAGATAAATACAAAAAAAAAAAAAGACAAACACGAAGTATTAGTGCTTACTATTATTCAGTTTTACAGAAGTAGATTTTAACCTGTGGTATTTGAGAAAATGTTGATTATAACGGAATTTTTAGGGAAAATCGATTTCAATAGAGGAAAAAGCTTGAGTCTGAAAGCATAAATTGATACATAGTTATTACAGTGAAGGTATAGAATAAACACATGTGTATAAGTTCATATAAAGAATTAAGTATGTTTTTAGTTTTCTCCTAAAATGAAATTATGGAACAGAAACTGTGATCCTTTGATCTCACTCAAGTCACAGGCGTCTTTATGGATAGTGTGTTAGCAATTCTAGAGAAGAAGCCTTTTGACCTTGGCCTTGGCAATGCCATGTTATTGTTTTGGACACTACTCTCCAAAATCAAAACTATGCAAATGCAATATGTGCAAACTGAAATGTCTTTAAAGCAAAGAAAACAGCAAAGTGCAGAGAAAGCCTAAGAGGAAGGAATTATATAGAGAACATGCACCCCACAGAAAGATGTATTAGTTATCATAGATATTTTATCTCTCTCAGTGATGGAAATATAGGCCAGATCAGACCAGATCAAAAGCAGATAAATGCAGGCTTACTGAGCACTGCTTCTGTGTGGGTTCATTGGTTCCAAAGAACAAGGCTGAAGAAGTCACAAACCTGGGCTAAGGCAGGGAGGTTTTATCAACCTTAGGTGGTTGTCAGCAAGGAGCTGGGGCTGTGCCCAAGGGTGGTAAAAAGCTAAATCCCTGGGCAGGCACTTGAGTGGGCTAGCAATGTCAAAAAGACAGGATGCATCAACTGCCAGAAATGCAGGACTGGGCTTTTGGTGCCATTCCTTTGTTTAGAGTTTTCTCAGTGAGGGCAAGTTTAAGAGAAGGAGGGAAAATGAGGTTTCCCAGTTTTTACAAGGATAAGCAGGGCTTCCAACTGGACAAGTTATTCATACCACTATAATAAAATACACGAAACGATTAACTGAGAAAGTCTGTTACTTTTCTGTTGTTGTAATAAGATACTGTGACAAAAGCAATTTATGGAAGAAAGGATTGATTTTAGCTTAGGGCTTCTGTATAGGTGGGAGGAGTAAAGTCCCAAGGAGATGGAGGAAGCTGAGCGATAACATTTTAACCACACATAGGAAGCAGAGAAAGAGAAAGAGAAAGAGAGAGAAAGAGAGAGAGAGAGAGAGGGAGAGAGAGGAAGAAAGAGAGAGGAATTCAACTTCAAATAATGCTATAAACTTTTTTTAAATTTTTATTAATTATAGTTCTTTCCCATTGTATCCCACCTGTAGCTTCCTCTATCTTTCCCTCCTAATCCCACCCTTCCTCTCTCTTTTCCACTCATGCCCCTCCCCCTGTCTACTGATAGGGGAGGTCCTCCTCTCCTTCCATCTGATCCTAGTCTATCAGGTCTCATCAGGAATGGCTGCATTATCTTCCTCTGTGGCCTGGTAAGGCTGCACCCCCTGAGAGGGAGGTGATCAAAGAGTAGGCCAATCAGTTTATGTCAGAGACAGTCCCTGTTCCCATTACTATGGAACCCACTTTGACACTGAGCTGCCATGGCTACATCTGTGCTGGCATTCTAGATTATCTCTGTGAATGGTCCTTACACCTAAAGAAACTAATCAAGGAGGAGGACTGTGGGTAAAGTGCTCAATTCTCATTCGGAAGGGCAAAGAGGATGGACATTGGAAAAAGGTGAAAACAAGGAACAAGACAGGAGCCTACCATAGAGGGCCTCTGAAAGACTCTACACAGCAGGGTATCAAAGCAGATGCTGAGATTCATAGCCAACCTTTGAGGAGAGTGCAGGGAATCTTAAGAATGAAGTGGAGAGCTAGAAAGACCTGGAGGGGACAAGAGCTCCACAAAGAGAGCAACAGAACCAAAAATCTGGACACAGGGGTGTTTTCTGAGACTGCAATAAACTCTTAAAGATGCCCCTAGTGATGCGTCTCTCCCATCAAGTCTCAATGTCTCCAAAGTTGAAGAACCTCTCTAAACAGTGCTGCCAAGTGTATAAATAGCAGAGGCTATAGAGAACATCTCTTCCTTAAACCACAAAAAAGAGGCACAATATATGTTGTCTCATGGTTTTCCCTTGTTCTAAAGCACAAATCAGGACATAAAGAAAACTCTGGATTATAACCCACATCCACAGTCCTGTGGCCCAATGCCTGCTAGGTAAGAGAGCTCTAAAAACTTCTAGACCATTCCAAAACTGTGCCTTAATCGTAGAACCAAGTGATAATGCATATGAGCCTCTGGGTGCTGTACATTACCATGTATATGATTATCATGTCTATCACTCATAACCAACCCATAGTAGAGTGCAGTCCACAAGGACTTGTAAGGAATCCACACCATAGTATCAAGTCACATGACCCAATTGAAAAACGGGCAAATACTTCATTCCCCCAGTGAAAGCATACAAATGCCCAATCAGGATGTGAAAAGTAGCTCAACATTAAGATGAATAGTTGTTCTTATACATTTATAGAGAGTGTTCACCTGGATTTCTAGAACTACCAAGTGTAAAAACGCCTGTTATCTATTCCTTTCAAGAGTAATAAAATCAGTAAAGTGAATATGTATTAAAAGGGGTTTTTATTAAGTCGGCTTACATGATGATATGGTCTGGATAGTCTGGTAATGTATGTCCTTACATTACATTACATCAAAGAAGCCAAAAATATCGTAGTTGCTTAGTTCACTAGCTTGGATGTCTCAAAAGTTCTAATCTGATCATTATGGCCTGGACTATACCTTAGAGCGATGCTGGTATGAAGTCTATGTTAGAAGTCCAGAGAAGCTTAGTATCAGTGGATGAGTGCAGCAGTCACAGCAACAGGATGGAAAAACTTGGCAGCAGGAACAAAGGAAAGCAAAGTAAAACATGGTTTCCTTCTTTCGCCTGTTCTTTTACCTGGGCTGCTACCAGACAGCGCCCACATTTAACACAGACCTTCCGACTTCAAATAACTTGATCTCTCGCTGGGATGCCCAGTGGCTTGACTGTTGATTCTAGATCCAGTGAAGCTGACAGCCAAGATTTACTGCAACATTGTCCTATATTAATAGCATAAAGTGAGTGCTTTCATGGAACTTGAAGATGTATAGTGACAGAGACTGGGCAAGGCTCCATTGAGTGTTGTTGAAGAAAGTGATTGATTTCTATATGAGGGAGATGTCAGCTAGGTGACTTAGAAGTTCTTGTTCAATGTTGAAAGAAACATTGAGCTCTATGGAAGAAGCTTTGTTCTTCATTAATGATCAGTATTGAAAAATGAGAAAAGGAGCATCAATTTTTCCCTACTACGTCTTCTGTTTTTTCTAAAACTTTTAGGTAATGGGTTCAATTAAGAAAACAACAAAGGAACAGAGATATGGTTCAGCCATTAGGAGCACATGCCATTCTTTTAAAAGATCTGAGTTCAGTTTCTCAACAACCATGTAAGTTAGTTCACAATAACCTGTTCCCAGGAATCTGATGGCCTCTTCAGGAATCATTGGATGCCTGCACACTTAGATGATCTCCACACAGTCAAACACACTCATACATAATCCCCCAAAAAGTTTAAAAATAGAAAGCAATAAATTATTACAATGTGACTCTCTTAAAAACCCAAGGAAATTAAATTGAAAGCTCTTCAAATTAACAATAGTTTTAACAGGGATACAAGTTATATGGTAAATAAGCAAAATTAATATATTTGTATATGCAAGCAACATAGATAAAAATATTAAATTGCCTCCACACTTGCTGCAATGAAAATAATAATTATATTGAAACAAAGTTAATAAGCAACGTGCAAAGCCTACACAGAGACAATTATTTGATTTTACTGAGATTAAATAATAGAAATGAAGGAAAACTTTGCAATATATTTTTATTACTTCTTTGAGAAGTTTAAATGTACATTTAATGTTTTAAAATCATATTCAACATGCATTCTTTCTAACTCCTTCCACTTCCACCCTCAATGTCCAAATCCCACCTCAATTTTATGCCTATTTTTATAGACCATCAAGCCCAGTATTTATGGCACATTACTTATGCCTGTTTCATCGTATAACTAGAGTTAGATTGAACTATTTGGGGTCCTACATACCCTTAAAGAAAACTGACGTTTATCTCTCCCCTAAATTGTCAATTTTGAACAGCTCCTCAGCTAAGGGAGGGATCTTACAAGTTGGAATGTTGACTACCTTCATATTGTGAGAAGGCTTGTGTAGACAACTACAGCTCTTAGGATTTCATGAGTGCACTGTGTCCTCTCATGTTCAGAAGGAACTTTTCAGCTCGGTCCTCCTAACCATCGGGTCTTATAATTTTTACCCCTCTTTTGGAATGGTGTCTGATTTCTAACAAGGGGCACATAATATTTGTAAGAAAGCTATTTTTTCTTCTTTGTTCCTTTTTTTATTCTTTTTTAAATTTTAATTTAATTTTATTTTTAATTACACTTTACTTTGTATCCCCCCTCTAGTTCCCTCCCTCCTCCCCTCCCAATCCCTTCCTTTCTCCCGTTTCTCTGCGCATCCCCCTCCCTATGTCCACTGGTAGGGGAGGGTTTCTTTTTCTTCCTTCTGATCCTAGTCTGTTAGGGCTCATCAGGAGTGGCTGCATTGTCTTCCTCTGTGGCCTGGTAAGGCTGCTCCCCCCTCAGGGGGAGGTGATCAAAGAATAGGCCAATCAGTTCATGTCAGAAGCAGTCTCTGTTCCCATTACTATGGAACCCACAAAAAATATGAAACGCTTCATTAATTTGCATGTCATCCTTGCGCAGGCGCCATGATAATCTGCTCTGTATAGTTCCAGTTTTAGTATATGTGCTGCCGAAGCCAGCACAACAAAGCTATTTTTATGTCTGAGAAATTGATGGACACTTACTATCTGCCCTATCTGCCCTTTGACCATTTGTGAATTTTTGCTTTAACTAACAAAGAAACACAACAAAACTTCTCTGCTGATGTCAAAAGGCTACAAGAATCTATGGGTAGAGAGTTACGGAATTTAGAGGACAGTTGATTCTATGATTCCTTAGTAAAATAATGATAATAAATTACTCACTGGAGCCTGTGAGCTCAAAAATAATGACATTGTGGCCAAATAGACAAGGCACACATTTCTACAGAAAACAAATGTCTACCCCTTTAAAAATCTGAGCTACTACTGCTTCCATGGGTACATCCTGCTATACCAGTTTTTATTGTAGCTCACAGTAGGTGGGTAAGACTGTTCACATCTCTTTTCTCTTAGCAGCCGAACTTGTGCCTTCTTGTGTTCTGAAAGTAAGAAGGCAGAAAAAAGCTTCCGAATCGCTACCAACTTGATTTTGTCATGTCCTATGAACAAAGATTGTGCTATCTTCAACACCAGGGTTTTACCATTAAGTTCATGTGGGCACTAAAAGCAATGGCAAGAGGTTGCATTGTTTAGGGGATTTCAGGGCATGTTTGACAAACAACTCAAGGGGTATGCCTTAGTTACTTTTTTATCACCATAGCAAAAAACAAAGCAAAAAAACCAAAACAAAACAAAAACAAAAACAAACAAACAAAAAGATGAAACAAAACAAAAAGCACAAACAGAAAACAACCCAAAACCAAAAGCAAGACAATCAAACTATGACAAACGCAACTTATAGACGAAAGTGTTTTTGATGGGGTCTTGCGGTGTCAGAGGAAGAGTCTGTGATAATCATGACAGGTAGCATGGTAGGAGGCAGGCTGGCAATGGCTCTGCAGTAAGAGCGGAAGGCTTGTATCTGATCCACAAGCAGAGGCAGAGGAGAGCTAACTAGAATGGCAGGGATTTTTAAAACATAAGGGGCAAAGCTACCCTAGTGACACACTTCCTCCAGCAAGGCCACACCTTGTAATCCTTTCCACCAGTTGGGAACCAAATATTCAAATACATGAATCTATGGTGGCCATTCTCCTTCAAACCACCGCATGGAGATATCTCATACCTGGCACCCAGCTTTTTATTTGTCAACCAATTGCTGCTGAGCATAATAGTTTATCCTCTGTAGGGTAAGTCCAATTCAACTATGTTATATGACAAATATAATTAGTAAACTTGAATAAAATAAAACTTAAATAGTAACATTTATTTTCCACAAATGAACATACAGTGGTGTAAAAATCTAAGTTCTAATATATGACTATAATTCAATTATCATGAAATTTTAATGGACATTTCTGGGCAGTTTAGTGTCCAAGTGGGTTACATAGTAATGGCTTCCTCAGACTGCCTCTGACATAATCTGATTGGCCTGCTCTTTGATCACCTGCTCCTGAGGGGGGAACAGTCTTACCAGGCCACAGAAGATGACAATGCAGCCACTCCTGATGTGATCTGATAGACTAAGATCAGAAGGAAGGAGAGGAGGACCTCCCGTATCAGTGGACTTGGGGAGGGGCATGCATGAAGAAGGGGGAAGGAGGGTGGGACTGGGAGGGAAGGAGGGAGGGCCTTATGGGCGGGATACAAAGTGAATAAAATGTAATTAATAAAATTAAATTAAATTTAAAAAAGTTATTCTAAAGTTTATACTTTAAAAATATCAGTTTAAAGGAAGAATACACAAAAATTAAAACAGTTTTTGACACACTCCAAGTTTGTAAAAGTTAAGATAATTAAGTTGGCCTAAGATTTGAAAGCTAAAAATAAGATGTGCATGTCGTATTCCAAATATCAAATGATTACTTCAGAATTTAGTATTTGTGGGTCAGTGAGATGGCTTATAGGAGAGGCACTTGACACTCAAGCTTGCTGGCTTGATTTAACCTCCCAGAACCCATGGGAATGTGGAAGAAGAACACAGGTCCCAGACAATTGTCTTTTGGTCTCCGCATACATGCTATGACTTGTGTGCCCACTCCTCCCCTCTCCCAATAGTAGTAAGTTAAAAGGATTGAGTGTATGGTAAGGAACAGCAGTCTTCCCTGGAAGCAAATCATGACTAGTTGTTTAACAGAGGTATTGGGGCAACAAGAAAAGCTTGTGAGAGGATTTTCTACCTCATTAATGAACCTGAAACAACATGAAGAGATTTCATCAAAAACCAAAAATATTGTGTCACTTTGAAGGTGCATGCTTGAGCATTTATAATGAAACCATGGTGGATGGCCACCATGACTCTATCAGCTCTGAGGGTTTGATTTTGCGTTAAAATGATAGTGAAGATTTAAGTGTTTAGAAATATTCAGTGAAACTAAATGTCCACGTTAGAACATTATGCTAACACACACATACACACATACAAAAGAGAAGATCAAGGAGGCAGGAGAAGGAGAGGAATGTGCAAGGTAAGGAGGAAGAAAATTAATTTTTTTATTATATGTGTATGTATTAAAATGTAAAGACAAGGGTACCAAGGAGATTCAAGAAAACTTTACAAGAGATCCAGGGATTTAAACGGTCTTGTAATTTCAGTTGTCATTTTCTGCATTTCCAATCATTAATATATCATTAATTTTCTAAGACAAAGGGAAAAAAAATCATCCCAAATTTCATTCTATACAGAATAGGTTGCAGTAGGTTATTATCCTATTTTACACTTATAATTAACAAAATTATTCTTCTGTGATCGGCAACTTTTTATCAGGGGAAAAGAATAATACAGTAAGATGCATTTTCAGATCTGTGATCAAACATTAGAAGCACCCTCAAAACAGTGGCTGATAAGCCTGAAAATCTGCTTGAGGGCAAGAAGCTGAGCATGAGGCCTCATCACCGTGTAAATATGCAGCATCATGTATCACGGGTTATAGAAATTCTCTGTTCTTTCATCTCTATTTCCAGGAGGGTTATCTCTATGCAATACATTTTGATCTCAGAAGTGAAATCCATTTGATCTTTAATTCCTTACTCCAGGATCATTATATGCCCCGTGTTGACATAAGTAAAATATTGAAGAGGAGGTGTGCATGGCTCTGAATTGAAACTTGGATCTTAAGCCGGAGGTTATTTCTCACACATCCTGAAAGGGATGGACTTCAGATAGCACTGTCAAAAGATAGGTAATAATAAGGAAAGGAATCTACTTTAACAAGATTTTCATGACGTTAATTGGTGGATAGTTTAGAATTTTTTTTTTCATTGTGGTATTTTATAATTGTGATGTTTCTCAGAAGCTACATAAGTGAAAATTTGAGTAGTAAATTGGGGTTATCTTTATTAGCACTCTTTCAGAAGTGGGGAGGGATTTGGGCAGGGACAACATCTGGGCATCATCATAAGGCTTCCACATTTCGTTAAATGAAAATTAATGGAAATGTTCTGACACACTTGCCTTGTATCATTTCACTTCTTTTTTTAATTTTAATTTTTATTAATTACATTTTCATTCACTTTGTATCCCCCCTGTAGCTCCTTCCCTCCACCCCTCCCAAATCCTACCTCCACTCCCAATCCTACCTTCCCTCCCCCTTCTCCATCTGTGCCCCTCCCCCCAGTCTGCTGATAGGAGAGGACGACTTCCCTTCCTTCGGATTCTAGTCTATCAGGTCTCATCAGGAGTGTTTGCATTGTCTTCCTCTATGGCCTGGTAAAGCTGCTCCCTGCTCAGGGAGAAACGATCAAAGAGCAGGCCAATCAGTTCATATCAGAGACAGTCCCTGTTGCCATTATTATGGAACCCACTTGGACACTGAGCTGCCATGGGTTACATCTGGGCAGGGGTTCTAGGCACAGGAGACAACTTCCTGAACAGAACATGAACAGCACAGGCTCTAAGAGCAACAATCAATAAATCGGACCTCATGAAACTGAAAGAAAATCTTGTCAAGTCCCTCTCGCCACCCACACCCCATGGTTCTTCCTGAAGCACTACAAATGAAGATTTTCTTTCCCCAATAATTAAAGTCTCCAAACCATAAACACATAAGAGCCCTAATTGTCAGGGTGTTTGAGCATCATCAATGTTTTTAAACAAGTTGAATAGTTGTCTCCGAATACACTCTAATGTGAATTTCAGTGATGTCATAGTCAATGCTGTGAGCAGAAATCCACTTAGATGATAATAATCTATTGGCCTTCCTTCTGTATGCTTATTATTTAAGATTTTAGCAAGATGTTCTAAATTGACATAATTAAGTGTTCAATTGTTTGTGGAGCACGTATTCACGACTGAGTGGTGATACTAATTTATATCTATGTATTTGGAGGTCATGGTTGAATTCTGAGGCTCACTGCATACTCCTTCTATAAAATGAGCTAATAGAAAAATAGTACTACATAGTATAATCTAGTATATGATAGGGTAGGGCATTTGACATTATAGAGGAGGAACTGCCTATGGAATTCTTGGAACACAATGTATATATTATAAAGAGTTTAGCATATAATAGATACTGCTTCCAAAGCAGTCATCCTTGCAATAAATGTAAAACTGTCAACATGCTTTAGGACACAGAGGGGAAAGCTAACCTGTGCTGTAAAGAATTTAAGAAATTGTATTAGTTATTTTTCTGTTGCTGGGATAGTATATGGTGATTGAAAAAAAGGGGGGGCAACTTTGGAAAGTAAAGTTCTATTCATGAATAGAATTCTGGAGGTGAATAGAATCCATCATGGTAGAAAATCTATCCAAGAGGTCAGCCAGGCTGTCAGGGAAGCAGAGAGTTGGGCCAGGCTACAAAGCTTCAAAATACACCTCCACTGATGCACTTCTTTCCACAAAGATCAATGTCTGAAATGTTACAGAACATTCCCAAACTGTGGTGCCAACAGGAGACCAAGTATTAACAATATAAGCCTGTGTGGGACATTTCACACTCAAACCACCACCAAGGTCAAATGTGGAGAATGGATAACCTTAGTTAGGGAAGATAGTCCATCCTATATTTTCATAATTAGCCCCCCATGGCATGAAACATCCACTCAGTCCTGGCATCATGTTGAACAATGCACATTACTGCCATGTGAGAACAATTAATGATGCAGCTTAATCTTTGAGGTAGAGACACTAGATAACAAAAGGCTCAATCTCTGATCTCAGCACTTGCTGATACTCCATCTTACTCCCAGTGGCCCTTGAAATCCTGTAATTGAGTTAACCAGGGAAAGACCTCAGCAGGAGACACTGAGGCTTCCTAACCCTAGTTTGTGCTTTGAATTTGGGTCAGAGAACTTTCTTGCCAACATAAGGGGGGAACAGGGAAAATCACCCTTCTGTCAGACAGAAGAACTGAACATGAAATGTTTGTGAAGATGATCTTTAAAGCAGTAATAAGCATGCTTCAAAACAAGAAAATATGGAAAAACAGAAACAGCCAATATTGAATAGAATTTTCTGGACTCAGAAAGTCAAAGTAAGTTTGACTTTGGTATATTCCTGGCAAAATAGGTGGTTTATTGGATCAGTTCACACAAAGATAAAAAATGCCTTTGGATATCTGAAACAAAATCATAATGAGGGGAGAATTGTCAAACAAAATTTTGCCAGTTCATTATTCTTGCACATAACTACTTGTAATACTAATCATAGGTAACTTCTCAAAATTGCTACCTTCTAGAAATCACACAGAGAACAAGTGGAGTGCATTGCAGAGCTTAGCAAGACAGGGATCCTGCTGTCAGATCGCAAGCTGTGTTTGTTGTCAGTAGTGGCTTTGTAGCTTTCCTTAGAATGTTTGAGACTCTGTGCCTCCCTGTGTGTGTGTGTGTGTGTGTGTGTGTATGCATTTGCATGTATATGTAGTAGTCACACATATAATAAATTAATATAATTAACATAATATATATGTTACAGATCCTCACTTTGATTTAGCTTAGACTCAATGCTTCAAAATCACTCATGTAACTAAACTTCAAAACATTTATCCAACACCAGAAAAGGAGTAACTGGATACCAATTGTACTTTTTTCCTATCTATCTATCTATCTATCTATCTATCTATCTATCTATCTATCTATCTATCTATCTATCTCAATTTATTCACTTTGTATCCCAGCTGTATCCCCCTCCCTCGTCCCTTCCCAATACCTTCTCCTTTCCTCTTCTACACCCATGCTGCTTCCCTAGTCCACTGATAAGGGAGGTCCTCCTCCCCTTCCATTTGACTATAGCCTATCAGGTCTCATCAGAACTGTCTGCACTGTCTTCCTCTGTGGCCTGGTAAGGCTGCCTCTCCTCACCCCCCTTCAGGGAGAGGTGATCAAAGAACCAACCACTGAGTTCATGTCAGAGACTGCCCCTGTTCCCCTTACTACGGTACCCACTAGTAGACTGAGGTGGGGGGCAGGATTGGGATGGGATGAGGGAGGGGGCTAAAGCTAGGGTATAAAGTGAATAAAATGTAATACATTAAAAAAAGAAAAGGAAAAAGAAAAAGGGAATAAAATAATAATGAATAAAAAAATAAAATTAAAAATATTAAAAAACACATTTTTTCACATTGTGGCCCTTAAATATAAAGTTATTTCATTGAACTATAAATAACTGCAAAATATTTGATATGCAACCACAAATGGTTTTGAGACCCACAGGTTGAGAAGGCTTTCTCAGGGACAACCCTTACCTGGGCTAAGGGTCCTGCTGAGCTATGTTATAATATTCTTTGGGGAATGAATCACCACATGGAGCTCGCTTTGATATGTTCCCACAGGTCCTCAAGACTCTTTGCTCATGCCTCATGATGTCCATAAGGAATCATAACTTCTGTTGACTACTCTGGTCTCTACATACTAGGCAGTTAGGCTTCATTGTTTTTGTTTTGTTTTGTTTTGTTTTTGTTTTTTTTTAATCTGTTACAATACTTGGATTGGTCATGAAGCCTCTGCCTTTAAGCAGCCATGATGGTTACCACAGTGTTTCCCTGATATCCTCATTCCTCTTACTTAAGGAGAGAAAATAGAACAAGAAAGCTCTTGTTCTACTAAAGAGCATAAAGAACAGATGAACCAAAGGAAATGTCGTTTTTCAGATTCATCTAGATGGTGTGTACTTGTAGGATGGTAACTGCACAGAATGTTCACCTTAAGTGATGCCCTAGTCCTTTATTTTGAGTGGCTAGTTCCCAGTGTGCATGAGTTGGTTTTACCCTCCTGCTTTGCTCTCTATGGTGCTTATTTTTTATTTATATATTTATATCGTTTCAGATCCCTCAGATTAGTTACGCATCCACAGCTCCTGAGCTCAGTGATGACCGGCGCTATGACTTCTTCTCTCGTGTGGTCCCACCTGATTCCTTCCAAGCCCAGGCTATGGTAGACATTGTAAAGGCCTTGGGTTGGAATTATGTGTCTACTCTCGCATCCGAAGGAAGCTATGGAGAGAAAGGTGTGGAGTCCTTCACACAGATTTCCAAAGAGGCAGGTAGGAAGTGATTGCATCATCAAACTTAATCCTTTTCAAATACTTGTGATTTGCGGAGTTTTCTTGAGATATTAAGTAAACAGTAAACATAATCACCACCATGTCCTTGATTTTACATTCTCTGTCCTGTGACTGAATCTTTAAGGTCTTCATCTATAACATGTAATTTTTGGAGAAATTCTTTTCAAAGGTGTGAAACTGCAGCTTCCTGGCACCAACAGATGAACACAATAAACACTGCAATGGGTGCCTAGATGCTTCCTAAGAGATGTCCAAGGAAACTCCAGTCTGTTTATAGACAGTGAGAAAAAGTGACTGCCCATGTCCATCCATGATGCTTTTCTTCTTGCCCATCTCCTAGGTGGGGAGAACTGTTTAGAACTATGTATGTACATCATGACAAGGCTACCCTGGTTTTAGAAAAGAACCAAATACCTCTGAACAACTTCACAAAAAAAAAAAAATAGTAGAATGTATTTAGGCAAATAGAGCTGAAATTTGTGCTTGTGTTCTGAGAGTCAATTCTACTTAGTATCACTTAGAACAGATATCTTTCTTTAAAGAGCTTTGGAGGTTGACCAGCTATCATATATATATATATATATATATATATATATATATATATATATATATACACACACACACACACCTTTCTGGCTCATTTTATGTTTTATTTTATTTTTTTATTTTCTCCCACTTTTGACAGGGTCTCATGTAACCAAAGTTGTCCTTGAACTAACTATTTAGCTAAGGGTGAATTTTGATCTCCCTATCTCTGCCTTCTAAATTCGTGAATTTTAATTGTCCACATCCTGCCTGGTCCTATGAAGTTATTGTGATAAGGGAATCAATTTTTCTTGTAAGAATTTTATTCACTCAAAATGGTCAGTGACTGGTGTAGATAACCAAAAAATGAGATCAATGAACAGAAGGTCTGTATTATGAAGAAAGGTGCCACTTATCTTGATGACGGGAACTTGAACATCACCCTTCACTAAACATATACCCAGTGTATCTAGCTGATAGACCTGCCCATGACTGTGCAGAGAAGCTTCTTTGTGAATCACAAATTTTTAACTCACAGCATGCTCGATTGCTGTAATTTTAAGTGTCATTGTCCATCTGGGACCTCCTAACTTTCTGCCTTCAGACTGAGATACTCCTGTGTCTAAGTATCCCTGGCTGACACTTACAAATCACGGACAAGTGTCATCTTAAATATCATTTCTAGGTTCAAGCAGATATGAACTTCTTACTTTGTTCTGTTGTTTTTACATGGTGTTTCTGATTAATCATCCTACAGCTCTGGTCACATTCCCAAGACTCTGACTAGAGAACACGTGTTATTCATTCACTGCTGTTACTCTAACTGCTGTGGTTCTGTCTAACATAATTCAGTTAGAAACCTTCTGATCTGGCAGGAAATTTTAACTCAGTCCTGTGGCCGGCCGTTATATGTAGAATTCATTAGTAGTAGATTTTGTTAGCCCCCAAAGAGATACCTAATCATTGTAATGACCGTTTTTATTCCTTCCTTGGTCTCTTCTAATCTTGCTTTCATCAAAATGAGGTTGACATGGAGAAATGTGTGAACTCTCTGGATGGAAATAAGTAAAGTAGGCAAGGTCAAGAGAAATTGCATGTAAAACAGTAGCTCTGAAATAAAACCTGGCCATCATCTTGGAATATTTATTTGCTACTAGATGGTCCCAAATTTAACACTGAACTTTGTATTGATAAAGTAGAGAATATAATTCTTCCTCAAAAAATATCAGCATTGTTATGGTCACCAACATGTTAAATATTTAGTAAAAGACAGCTCTTCTTGCTTTGGGATTAAAACAAATGCTTATTCTAGCACTTTGTAAGAGACTGTGTTCTGTAGACAGGTTTCAGTGAGAAAATTATATGGTTGCTATTCCTGGTGTCATTGGTTGAAAGCATAAGATATGACATTAGAGTTTGTTATGTAATGGAAAAAGGAATCGCCTGTGTAATGTTGTATGCACATTCCAGACTATGCATTTTGCTAACCATATATTGAGATGTTCAGCTCAAAAACAAGGCCTTGTCAGGGACAGTCATTTAAAATCAAATCATCCAACCTGCAAACACACGCCTTGAGAGTGAGAGTCAAAAAATAATAACCTGCTGCTGGAGACATAGGAGAAGACACAGGAGATTCAGATGACATGTCAGCTAGTAGTTCTACATATTGTGGTATTCAGATAATGGTTATAAGCCACCTGTGCTATATCATGGGTGCAATTAATAACAGGAAGTTCACGTAAGTGCTTTATGGATACCCTTCTCTGATAAACAAGGAGAAAGGAGAGACAGAGGGAGAGTTTAAGTCGTGTAGACTAAGTTTATTCACTGTGACTTAGAGAGAAAATGAGGTTAAAAGACCACTGCATTGCTATGAGGTACTTTTTGTGTGTGTGTATGCATTCACTTGTGTGTATTGTGAATGTATATATATGTGCATTTGCTTATGTAAGCACACATGTGGGGGTTCATCTCTCTGTATATCTTGGTCTGTCTCTCTTCTTTATCTCTGTATCTCTCTCTCTGTGTGTATGTGTGTGTCCTCAAAGCTGATACTGGGTGTCTTTTTTGATTGCACTATACTTTATTTATTGAGAAAAGGCCTCTTGCTGAACCCAGAACTTGGCAATCCCTGTGAACCTGGCTAGCTAGGTATCCTTGGAGATTTCTCTGTCTGTACATGAAACAGCTACTCCTGAGCAGATTTTACATGGACTTGGAATATCCAAATCCCTCACACTTCAGTGCTTTATCCACTGAGCCATCTCTCTAACCCCTTCATTTCTGTGGACATCTGAGGATGTATCTCCCTACTCAAAATGTGATTTTGGTATTTAAAGATACATAGTCTCAGGCATCTCAACTTCTAAGTCAGCCTACTTTATCTCTATCCACTTAAAGAAACAATTACATATTCTACTTCTGAGAATTCTGGAAGGTGTACTTGTTAGAGAATTTGGAGAAATTTTCCAGTGTAACATCAAATATTCACTTTATTTTTCATCTACTAATTCAAGAACATGATCTGTACAAAAGACCCGAGACACATATGTGTAAAAGTGAAGCTTTTTATCATAAAATTGAGTAAGGTGCTCAAGACACAGAGACCTGGATTTGAGTTATGAACTCTCTTACTTCGGTACTGTAAAGATTTGATACATGATTCACCATTTCGGTCCTCAGCATCCACACAGAGCGAAAGAGATTTATGGAGTCTGCTTTGTCATGGCTGTGTAATGAATGAGATGTGGTACTGGGAAGCAGTTAGTGCTTAGAAACACCTGGCTGTTAGTGCACCACACTGATTCCCTATAAATATTTATTATTTGAACTTGAAAAGTTTGAAAATGACTGGAATAGTCTGCTTTCAGTCATAATTGCAAATTACGTTGATAGTTGAATTACTTCTTTTTAATACATTTTACCTTATAAGGAAAAGGAAAAGAAGTGAGCTAGAGTCTCTCTCTTTCTCCCTCCCCCTCTCCCAATCCCTTTCCTTCTTCTTTCTCTCTCTCAGGCATGCACACCCATGTACGCACATACAGATGCCCCCTTCAGAAACACACGAGGGATTGAATATATTTTATATGTCACGGTGTCAATCTGAAAGAATTAACTTCCATTGCTTTTCAACAGTTTGGTTCTGAGAACTGTCATTCTTCTTTATAAATACTTTGTTTTCATTTTAGAATGCTTTCACCACAAAATTGAAGGGATCCTTAATCCTAACGCAGAGGCTACGCTAGGCAGAAAGCACATCTCTAGTGCTCACAGTAGCAAAGCAAAGGTTGAGCTCCCTGGCATCACTCACTGGTAAAACGAATGATGAAATCTTCATTGGATGGAAAAAAAAAAGCAAGCACATTTCAACAGGAGTCTTTCAATTCTCTCTGTCTCTCTCTCTCTAATTTTTATGTGTATGTGGGTGTTGTCAGCATGAATGTATGTACCACATAGGTGCCCTGGGATGCTAGAAGACGGTATCAGATTTCCTGAGACTGGAGTCACAGACAGTTGTGAGCTCACAATGGTGGTAGGAATCCACCATAAGTCCTTTGGAAGAGCGGCCAGTGCTCTTTACCACTAAACCATTTCTGGAGCACCATCAGGGGCCTGTTCACATGGATGATTAGACATCTTTTTGTCTATGCTGTTAAAGTAAATGCCAACAGCCTCGCTCAGGCTCGGTTCTGGAAGACTTGCATAAGTGCAGCTACTACATCATATTGTGATTTAAGGAGAATGTTAACATGATTTCCTCAGATGATGACTGTCTTGTAAAAGAGCCACATTTGTATAAATAGCCCTGTAATGGTTATTCACATAATGTCAACAAAAGCTGATTTTGCCTAATATTGTAGGGAATAAGGCAAAATTCATTCCCATTACCTCCCTCTCCCCACCAAAAAAGCCAGGCCAATGTGGTAACCTAAATGCCTTAAGTTGCATTTAAAGGCTCTTATTTCCTTAGTGGAAGCCAAAAAAAAAAAAAAAAAAAAAAAAAATTTGTGAGAACGTATCACACTGGTCGGTCTCAGATCCTTTGGATCTTGCTTTTTATAATTAATTTTTTATTTTTATATTAATTACAGTTTATTCACTTTGTATTACAGCTGCAACCCCATCCCTAATTCCTTCCCAATCTCACCCTCCCTTCCTTATCTCTTCCCATTCCCCTCTCTAAGTCCACTGAAAGGGGAGGTCCTTCTCCCCCTCCATCTGACCCTAGCCTATCAGATCTCATCAGGACTAGCTGCATTGTCCTCCTCTGTGGCCTGGCAGGGCTCCTCCCTCCTCGGGGGCGGGGAGGGGTGGTGGTCAAAGAGCCAGCCACTGAGTTCATGTCAGAGACAGTCCCTGTTCCCTTACTAGGGTACCCACTTGGAGACTGAGTTGCCATGGGCTACATCTGAGCAGGGGTTCTAGGTTTTATCCATAACTGTATAAAGTAT